AGGCAGGGTTTGCATTTACTCCTCTGTAATATATACTATTTCGTGCCTGGTTCAGATTTTCAATAACTTTATTGGGACTTCCAGCTCAGAAAGTCCAAACTTTAAATTTTTCAAGATTTGTAAAAGATTGTCCAAACAACTGATCAACAAAAGCTCACTAATTTCCAGTTATGAGAAATATATGAAGTTATAATTGTTTCAAAGATAATTTTACGTGTTTCCTGCTCACAGGCTTCAGTCTGGGTTCTACAATTCAGTCTCAGACCAAAGGTATTTGGATGTGGTGTGTCCCTCACCCCAGGTATAAGGATCGTGCTCTGGTTCTCTTAGACACAGAAGGTCTGGGGGACGTAGAGAAGGTGAGATTGTTAAAATGAGACTTTACTAATTATAATGGCTTCATATTGCCCAGAAACCCCTTTTGTGTATTTTGTATTTTCCATACTGATGGAATGTTCAGTTTTATGGTTTGTGAAGATGAAATGTGTTATTTATTGTCTTTTGTTCTCCTTCTGTCCAACCAGTTGTGAACCCATGTGCAAAGTTCAGAGAATTTTTCAACACATTTAAGCTTTTCTACCTTTTAGTTTTGCTTTGAATTTCTGATAATTTCTTTCAAAACTCTGTAGTAGAAGTAATATTATTTGGAGGAAAAATTAGGTCCTGGCTGTGATGATATTATGTTCTCAGCCACACCATGTGCTGAGTTTTTGCAGCTTGCAGGACCCCAATCTAAGCACCAGCAGAATGAGAGTGGTCATCTCTGGGGCCGGTTAGCGCCGAATTACAATAAAAAGATGGGGGGGGGGTAAAGGTCCAGTGGATTTTTATATAATGGGGGGGGGCAAAAAATGTATGCCCCGGGCGCCCATAACTCACGAAACGCCACTGCCTGGGTGAGCCACCTGCAATGGTAGCAGTCAGCATTATTGCAGGCTGTGCTAACTATTTCATTGCATGGTTTTATCTGTGCAAAATAAGCTCTCTCCTCATTCCTCCTCCAAATAAGGATCTTTGTTTGGTTAGCAAGTCACCATGGCCGTGATCCATTGACATCAGCAGTGAGCTGTGTGTTGCATGTTGGTTACTGTTGTTACTGATGTCCGGATTGTTGTTCTGACAATCTGCCAGCATGTTCCTCCTCTGTAGAGAAGAAGATTGACTCAGAACCCGACATATCAAGTGACCGTGTATTAGGGTAAGTAAAACGGGACTTTAGCTTCGCTATTTTATAAAAGATGTAATAGAAAATAATTTTGTAGTTGTGTGCAAAACCTGAACTTCTATTAAAAAAAAATGAGTGTGACACAATTGTAAATTAATTAAAAAGTACAACAAAATAGCCAATAGTAAACTTTTGTTTCCACTTTTATGTTCTTTTTCTTTTTTAAGGGGGATAAAAAAAACGACAGCAAGATCTTCGCCCTTGCAGTCCTACTAAGCAGTGCCTTGGTGTATAACAGCCTCGGCACCATCAATCAGGATGCCCTGGACAAATTAAAGTATCCTTTTATAACAAGGTACAAGAAAAAAATGTCACTTAGTCTATCTCTGGGTGCTCCCCTACATAATCCTCCCCACACCACCCAACCACCCATACAATTTAAGCATTTACTAGAATCAGCTGTCACATGATCCTGGAGTCCTGATCCTCTCACTAGGCTTGTTACTACCCCACATCAAGATGTCATGTGCCACTTGAAGTGTCAATTGTGCTGCTGGAAGTCTACAGGACCCTGTGAGTACCCCACTAATGGACACCTTTATCAACCAAATGGAGGTATCCACCTTTCCAGGGATTGAGGGTAGCACTAAAATAAGGACCCTTCCACACTAGAGTCTAGACGAAGGAAGACATGGGGCCCAGGGTGTCATGTGACTGTGGCTTCAGGTAAGTCAGTTTCTTAATGAAACTTCTAGATTAGTTAAATGGAGGTGTTTTCTGTTAATTTTCCCCTCTCCCAGAGATAATGCAGATGCAATCTCTAACTGGGTGACTGGAAAGAAAGATGTTATTTGTCCTTATAAACATTTACAAGATTTGTAGGAGAAATCACGGAATTAATCAAGGTGAGAACTGGCAGCATTCAGGACGAGCAAGCAACATTTTCCACATACTTCCCCATCTTTGTTTGGGCAGTGAGAGATTTTAATCTGGAACTGGAGATTGATGGGCAGACGGTCTCAGCGGATGGTTACCTGGAGAACGCCTTAAAGGTTAAAACACGTATGTATGTGAATTGTCTGCAAACTGAACCAAGTAACTTGAATCATTGTATTGTAGTCATTACATAGAAAGCTAAGAGATAGTGAGCCTGTGCTCGGTTTATTCCCAAGAAACAAAGGCATTTCCTGGTATTTCCCACATATTTATGAGAAACATTAAAGGGGTTTGACCCCCTTCCTGCTTTCTGGGTCCAGAGAGTGATGACTGTGACGATAATGGGGTTTGAGTTTATTAATATTAAATATAGCATTCTCTTGTCCCCCAGTTATAAACAAATGCAGGCTTTCATTTAGTCATTTGCCAGGTCCCTCCACATTCAAAAAAACAGAGATCTGCGACTCTGCTAATCTAGGCTGTGATCTTTATTGTCCCAGCACTACTTAACAAGTGAGAATCCCAAATAACCCTCTAAACCTTTTATGGCTGCCCCTAATTAAGGCATGCAACCCGGCACTCATCTCCTAGCAGCTGACCAGTTAATAAACACAAGCAGGTCTGGTAGGTGACCTGGCATTCACCCAAAAGTCATAAACCTGAGTTACAATATCAGCTCCATTTCATAATTTGAAATTGGACAGTGATATTGTAAAATTAGGTGCACAAATAGCTGCGTCTCGTCACAAAGAGAACATAGATACCAAGAATGAATAGTTTCCAATGAGCCACAGCTGGACAGGCGACATTTATCTTCCTGACCCTCCCATCATTCATATCTCAGGCACGTTTAGTTTCAATCTAAAGGTAACTTCATGACGCATCATAATTTAGGGGTTGCCAGACCGTATTAAAAATAAATACTCCACTATCATCTTAAGTTCTGAATTTAACCATTTGGGAGAAGCAGAGGAGGAAATCATAAAGGCTCGTCCCTCCTGCTCTCCCACCCCAGCCCTCCCCTAGAGGGCTGACAAAAGATGCTGCCGAGGCAGCTAGAGAGGCTAATGTTTGATTAGAGAGGCTTGATGTTTGAAAACATCAAGAAAAGGAACTCCTGCAATTTCAAGAAGTCTTTACATCACAGAAGAGTTCCCCTTTAAAATCTGGACATCATCTGCTGAAAGCTTGCTTGAAGGAAAGCCCTTCAGACCCCTCGTTTGTTTATTGAACTTTGGACTCTGTCAGAACTCCTAAAACCAG